AATGACCATTTTGTTGGAAGTTTTGAGTTTGAAAGAATTCTTGCTTTCTGGAAGGAGAGGCATCTTCAACTTGGTGATGAAATCCAAAGGGCAAGGGCACGTTTAGAATTTGTTGAAGGCCAAATTGAAGATGACAAAAGGCAGGCCAATCTGGATAGGGCGAAGTTGCAGCGCATGAAGCATAGACACAAACGACTTCGGAGTGTAGCTGTTCAAAAATACAAGAACTCATCTAATAAATATAAAAAAGTTTTAGAACACAACAATTTAAAAATATATACACTCATGCCTTCTATATCAAAAAACAAATGACTTACTTTGGGTTATGGCGCCATTCCCAACAAAATTTCAGCAATTTCACCATATCATCATGCGGAATCGCCTTCATTGGGTCTAACGTTCGAAGTCGTGTTGTCTTTGGCAAATTTTTTTGAACCACTTCACTAGCTTCACAAGCAATGTCACATTCCTAGTCACATTCCTAGACAGAATGACCATTTTGTTGGAAGTTTTGAGTTTGAAAGAATTCTTGCTTTCTGGAAGGAGAGGCATCTTCAACTTGGTGATGAAATCCAAAGGGCAAGGGCACGTTTCATAATCTATGTACATTCAAACAAATCCATAATCAATTAAACTTACATCTCCTTTCAGCCAACCGTCAGCTTTGATGAGGGAAGCGAAGAATTCAATCTCAGCTTCCACGTTGCCGAATTGCATCATCAAACTAAAATATAAAAAAGTTTTAGAACACAACAATTTAAAAATATATACACTCATGCCTTCTATATCAAAAAACAAATGACTTACTTTGGGTTATGGCGCCATTCCCAACAAAATTTCAGCAATTTCACCATATCATCATGCGGAATCGCCTTCATTGGGTCTAACGTTCGAAGTCGTGTTGTCTTTGGCAAATTTTTTTGAACCACTTCACTAGCTTCAACGATATTCCACATAGGAATAATCCTCTTCCTCTTCTGTAATTGGACCCCTCGTTCCACACATTGACCTTCATCATTCAACCAAACGTTCAACTGAGATAACACAGCTGTAGGTTGATCCCA